GAAGACTCGAGAGTTGAACTAATCAATTCTCTTTCCGGCTCAGACTGCATCGGTTAAAGTTTATGGGGCTGTCACGTGATGAACGAACGACTCGAAAACCCAGAAGACTCGAGAGTTGAACTAATCAATTCTCTTTCCGGCTCAGACTGCATTGGTTAAAGCGTATGGGGCTGTCACTTGATGAACAAGTGACTTGAAAAACCCGAAAACTCGAGTTGAACTAATCAATTCTCTTTCCGGCTCAGACTGCATTGGGCTATCATGTGATGAACGAGTGACTCGAAAAGTTGTAATTGTATTTTGCTAAAATGAACGAAATGAACGAAATTACTCGAAAAAAGATTTGTTAATTTTGCTGAACGAGACTCAAAGGTCCGAGTCTGTAAAATGATCTGAACTTCCCATCACTAGTGCGTTTAGCCTACGGCATGGCTCCTCCTACAACACTGACGAATGCGATATGATGACACATCACGGAGAAGTGCATTACTGTTACCAGACAGGTTTTATTACCATCTTGAAAAGTTGTTTGTGTACGTGGACTGTATTCACGCAAGCTAACAAAAAATACTCTAAGAATTATCTTGGAACGTTTTGATAACGTTTAGATGAAGAATATGAACAATGTATAAATAATGTTTTTTTTACGTTTTAGACTAATTAAGACCACGATACTGCATGTAAGTGATGCTATGTTAAACACTGAAGCTTTGAAACTTTTAAGCATTTAGTAATAATAAAAAAAGAATTCAAAATAAAGCTAAATAACTGTTGAAGGTTAAAAGAGACAAGTATTTAAAAAGACCTATTATTGTACACTTGAGGTCTTTGTTTAAGCTGCACCAGTACAGATAACATTACCTGCAGCAAATAATCAAGGTTCCCTACCGATTACAAATTATAGCTGAAAACTAAATGACCACAAGGTGCAGTTCATTTTAAAGTGTTGCAATATGATTGCATGTTGAAAGCAGTTGATGAGATGAGTTATTATATCTTCTTTTCATGTATCTGCTCTATATATTAATTTTGCATTTGTAACAGTTGTAAAAGAATGTAAGAAATGTATAATGGAAAGGGAGTGATTGAAGCTGTAAGGGCTTTTGCGACCTTTGCAAACATTTCCAATCAATGAAGCCATAGTAAAAATACCATATTCACAGAAGTACATGTCACGTGTTTCCTTCATTCTGCAGCCAGAAGTAACTGATAACGTGGTGTCTCCATGAAGATATTTTTTATATAAGAGCTCACCTCTGCAGACTTTACTCCAAAAAAATAATTAATTTTATTCAGTTTTTATTGACATGCATAGATATGATATGTGTACAGAAAAAAAACATAAAAATATTTAAAAAAAGAATAAAGAAAATTAAGAGCAATACTTCTTCAGCAAATTATACTTTACAAACAAATCAAACAACTCTGACCAGTGCTTATTAAATTAATTTCTAAACGATATAAAAATGTGATGTGAGAAACCTACATTTTTTAATAAAATATTTTGTTGAAATAATATTTTTCGGAAAGCACATAGTCATTCATATTTGTTCATATTATATTTTATATCTTAAAATGAGAGTGAGAAAGATCATTCACTTTATCAAATGTGACCCTGGACCACAAAACCAGCCATAAGGGTCAATTTTTTTAAATTGAGATTTATATATAATCTGAAAGCTGAATAAATCAGCTTTCCATTGATGTATGGTTAGGACAATATTTGGCCGAGATACAACTATTTGAAAATCTGGAATCTGAGGGTGCAAAAAAATTTGAAATACTGAGAAAATCGCCTTTAAAGTTGTCCAAATGAAGCTCTTAGCAATACATATTATGAATCAAAAATTAAGTTTTGATATAGGGTAGGACATTTATAAAATATCTTCATGGAACATGATCTTTACTTAATATCCTGATGATTTTTGGCATTAAAAAATATATAGTTTTGACCCATACAATGTTTGTTGTTTTTTTTGGCTATTGCTACAAATATACCCCAGCGACTTAAGACTGGTTTTGTGGTCCAGGGTCACAAATGTATCTTCTCAAAATAGGTCAATAAGACTTAGGTTGAAGACACGTCTTGTGTATAATTGTTAGTATACCAAAGGCTATATTTCTCATAACACTTCTTTTTTATATATATTTTTATATGCAGTAAAAGGATAACAATTACAAATACAAAACATATTTCACTAAATATGTTATTCCAAAAAGCAGGTAAGGAAATCTGAGATCTATTAAAAATTGAACGAATATCTTTGTTTGACATGGCATTGGAAAGACATGGGTCAACAAATAAGTTAGTGTTGTCAAAAATTAGGAGAGTGTAGAGAACCTTTAGGGCCAGACTTGACGAAAGGTTTGATTCAATCAGGAATTGCACCAAAACAATGGCATATTCTCGGCTCCTGGGGGGGATTGGGGAAAAAAAATTCTTACATAAAATGTTAATAAGTGATACAATATGTTATTTTCTGCTTGTGAATATATTCGCAGTCGATATGTAGGCTAAACCGACTGTAAATGTTCACACGGTTAATCAGCATAAGACAATCAAATAAGCAACAACAACAAAAGAAATCTCAGCATCTTCGAACCCACATAGAATAGCTCATGTTAGTATTCGACAAGTGCAATCACGTTCAGCTATTCAACCACACTGATAGAGGGTCATTTCATTCTCTACAATCAGATAATCAAGTGGCATGTTTCCAAAGTGTATTCACGGCAAAACAACTTGGAAATAGCGTTACTGAGTTTCTGAAGAAAATGTACCATGTTTTTACTATAGCAAATATAGTTTAACGATATTATAATTAACGTTAAACCATAGCAGCCACAAATTTACCATGGTCTGAGAGTCCATGAAATGTACTTTAATATCATAAACCATAAAATGTAGTCAGCTTTCTGCTACGGCTCATTTTCAATATAGGTAAACACAGGTCACAAGTTACCACGGCCACATTTCCTTGATTCAGCCAGCCGCACAGTGTGATCTATACAAGTCTTTAATCTAGAAATCTGCGGCTGAACCTGAATCAGTGTAGTTCGGTAGCTCAGTGGCTCATTACTAGCGTCGTTTAGCGCGTGTTCGAAACGTACCAAACAGACCTTTTGGTTTATTTTCCGTACTTAAGCCGCAACGATCATACCAATAATTTGTAATCTTTACAAGAGTACCAAAATCATGTAATGAGCAACTGTGCGTTTATTAGACAGCTTAATATCCCGTCAGTTTGTGCTTTCAGAATCGGCGAATCTGCTGCGGTCGTTAATTCCATCACATCCGAAGCGGAGACCTGAACCAGGAAGTTGGTCACCAGTTAAACCGCCTGTAACAGAAGGCTTACTTTCGGTTTGGGATCTCGTTAAACATGTGATTATAAGGATTAACTATATTCTGATTCAGCGAGTTTGGAATCTAGAATGCTACTGTGTGTAACTAATGCGACATCTAAACCGAAAAGAAGTACATATAACAGATCTGAGCTGTCAGAAGCGAGCCGTCGGCGCTCCACTGCTAGACTATTCCAGGTTCATTCAATGCTGCCGCATTAAGAGTCGTTATCACTGGTTAGAAGAACGTTCTTTGTCATATAATTAATGCGAAGGTAGCTAGGTTATTTGTGTTTCAGTTTTTTACTGCAACATCGTCAGACTATGAGACATAACCTACGTTTCCACCCGTAGGTCCAGACGCGCAAGAGTGACTTAGAAAGCAAATATAATATCAAAAACAAAAATGGGCCAGTCAGAGAGCGGACACTTTCATGTTGCTTCGAGTGACTTTAAACCCAGATCAGACTCAGTAAGTTGTTGAGCTCTTTGGTTTCCGTTACAGCCAGTTGTTAAAGCATTAAATCAAATGCTAGTCGAAATGGACTGACTTGCCATATGACAGGTAGATCATCTTGGACCAGCATTAAACCAGATGGTCATGCCATGTTACAAAGGTCAGGGTGGAACATGGTATAGCTGATGACCAGCTAAAAACCAGCAACCATGTTCCACAGCTGGACTTTACAACAAGATTAGAACTGAATCTTTCTTTCTCTGTCAGTGCTCAGGTCTGCGTTCAGCTGTTCCTCTAGCTGTGGTTGAGGAGATCCTACTGAATCTGCCTGCTCATCAGGTGGTGCGAGTCTGTCGTCTGGTGTGTCATGAGTGGAAGGAGCTGGTGGACAGTGCTGCACACTGGAGAGAGCGCTGTCGGAGAGAGGGGATCCAGCCACAAGATGTTTCCAGACCACCAGACAACTGGTGCCAGTTTTACTTCTTAACTAAGAAACGACGTAACTTGCTCAAGAATCCCAAGGCAGAAGGTGAGCCACTGGACAGAAAATATTAAATATTTTTAATAAAGCAGTATTCTTCATATTCTGGACTGCATTTCCCAGAAGCATTGTCAACCTAAGTTGATCATTGAAGCCATTGGTGGCAATAGTTTTTACTATCTATAGGCTTACGATGCTTTTGGGAATCACAGTGGTAGAATTTTGTGTTGATATTCCGCAAGCATTTCATCTTCACGTGTTCCAGACTCTTTGTTTTGCAGTTATAGAATATCCAGTTTTCATACTGTGGATTTTAATGTAAAAAAATGGTGGCTTGACATAAGGTGCATATAGAAAGAAAAGGTGTAAGAAGTAACACATTTTAAAAAATTCCCCTTAATTTAGAGTTGATTATTTCTGGTGGGGGACCAGATAGCAAGCTGAAATTTTCACAGATACATGTCCTCGATAGCATTCTGCTGTAAAATTTGAGTATGTGATTCTGCTGGTTACAGAGCTAGAGCTAGTAAACATCTGGGGAAAAGCCTACAGGATTCATGTATTGTTAGATATGAATGTAGTATAAGCATAATAATACAAATTAACAGTATTTTAGATTAATTGTGTTTATGATTGACACACCATAGCTTTTGTTTGTTAATGAGGTCTAAAACAGTGGTTTTCATGAAGGGGGCTAGAGACCACGAGGGGGCCTCGGCAAACATCCAAATGTTAAAAAAAAATTCACTTTTTCACACTTTCTCAACCCCATTAAAAAGAAAACCCTAAAAATGGTCTGCATGCATGCTATACTTAAAGGGTTAGTTCACCCAAAAATTAAAATTAGTCCATAAATTACTCAACCTCAAGTCATCCTAGGTGTATATGACTTCTTTCAGATGAATCCAGTCGGATTTATATTAAAAATTGTCTTTGATCTTTCAAGCTGTTTAATGGCACTCAGTGGGTGTTGCATGCATCAGTCCAAAAGAAGTGAAATAAAAAAGTGTCCCATCCATAAAAAAGTGTCTCACACGGCTCCGGGGGGTGAACAAAAGCCTTCTGTAGCGAATCGATGCGTTTTTGTTAGAAAAATATCCATATTCAAAACATAAATCACTTTAATGTAGCTTGCGCCAACAGTTGTACACAGAAGCAGTTCTGGGAGCATGACGTATGAGTTCAGCGTTGCGCATGTGCCGGTGAGTCTCGTGAAAACCAACGTTTGTTTACAGGATCAAAGAAAGCAAAGTTTCCTTACTTTAACAAAGGAAAACCAGTCTCCTCTTAGCTTCTATCGAAATCCTCCGACATTCTTCTTTACAAATCCTCGTTTTGTACTTCTAATTAGTGACCGTTGTTTTGTTTTGATCTCTCCCCTGCGCTTCCGCATGCCGCGCATGCGCAACGCCAAACTTATACGTCATTCCCCCGGAACTGCTTCCAGTGTACAACAGTGAGTGCAAGCTAGATTAAAGTGATTATTATGTTTTAAATATGGTTATTTTTCTTACAAAAATGCATCGATTCGCTACAGGAGGACTTTGTTCACCCCCCGGAGCCGTGTGAGGCATTTTTATTAAGGATGGGCGGAAGTTAAGGAAGTTACATTTTTATTTAACTTCTTTTGGATTGATGCATGCAACACCCGCTGAGTGCCATTAAATAGCTTGAAAGATCAAAGACCATTTTTAATATAACTCCGACTGGATTCGTCTGAAAGAAGAAAGTAATATACACCTAGGATGACTTGAGGGTAATTTATGGGCTAATTTTCATTTTTGGGTGAACTAACCCTTTAACTAGGACCCCCTAAAAAGATTTAGGACTGAGACTCAAATCCTTCCCGTTGTAAATTGACCCTAAATGTGGAACCCTGAGCACTATTGATCATTACATTTGACCTTAAATTATAAGTCTAAAGAACAACAATGTGCAAATGTTGTAGGCCATGATGGCCACTGTGGTTAAACCACATAAAATAAATATATTGGTTTTGCAATACCAAAATACAGAGGTAATGGTCCAGCAGCGTTCTTTGGAACGCTAGAGATGAAATGACCCTAAATTCACTTAATATTTAAACAATTAATTTTAACACTTTGTTTGCCACCTTATTCCCTTCTGAAAATGCAATGCCAGTGTCACTTGCTCCATTTATATAATGTGCTCCTCTGCTGGTCTGATTAGAAGAGTTCAGTGGATGGAAGATTGTACAGAATGGTGGTGACTGCTGGACAGTAGGAGATAATTCTGTAGAAATCCCAAATTTCACAGTCGCAAAATACTTTGTCACCTCTTACTGGTAAGCTTGAAATTACTTATTCTTCAGCTGAAAAGTCAAACCTAAATAAATGTATTTTAAAATGCCTTTATTTAGTTTAGCTAAAAGGACAATAGCGAGGCCTCCTTTGTCACCCATAAACTTTGTCCTCAGGTTATGTATGAAGCAACAGCTGATAGATTTGAAGAAAGAAGGCTACAGTGCTGCTTTCATGGATCAACTACAACCTCATATCAAAATATCTGACTGGTGAGCATTTCACGAGTTCACACTAACATATAATGTGATTAAGCAATTAGTAGCATATTTGGCATGCTGTCCAGAGGGAGGGCTACGAGCTCGGGTTAAAGCCCGAACACAGA